ATGGCCTCCCAAGTGTTAGCACAGCAGCTCAAGAGGCTGGGAAGGTGCCCACCAGCCGCGGCTTCTGCCGTCTGGGCTGACCACAGGGCTGCTTGTCCTTGTACGGCCCTGTGATGCAAAGGTGTCCCTGTCACACAAGGAGGTGGAACCTCTCGGTGGAAACACCCAGCCCTGAGCACAGCTAGCTTCACGACTCCAAAGGGTGGTCAAGCAACAGAGGCTGCTTGAGCCAGGTAACTTTTAAGGTCCCTCCCTCTGCAAGTAAGTCACAGCTCAAAACCTCCAAGAGCTGGAAGGAAGCAGGGGCTGTTAGGCCACTGGACCAACAATGGGGGGGACAGATAAGAGCTGTCCAGAGCTGGTGCAGAGGCTGGACACACACACACAGTGTCAGCAGGCTGAGCTTTAAGGCCCAGATCACCCACAAACAATCTAACTCAGGATCTCAAAGCAAATTCAAGGAGGAGATGCTCAGTATGGGAGACAGGAGATGCTCAGTATGGGAGACAGGAGATGCTCAGTATGGGAGACGCCAGGGCCCTGAGCCTCAGACCCCTCTCTAGGGGAGCAGCAGAAGGCCTGGGCCAGTCTCTTCTCCACCTCATTTCGGTCCCACCTACAAAAGGAGACGCTCTGACTCCCCACGGACTAGACGTGCCAACACCACACTGCTAACACCCTAGACGTCCTGCGTGTCCTTTCCAAGCATGCCACTGGGGACTGCTACTGCCCTCATCTCCCACTCCTCACTCTGGACCCTTGCTCTCCTTCTAACGGGGCCAAGGAAGCTGAGTCAGTCCCCAGATACTATCAGTCAAGTGCTGGGAGAGGACAGGGGCTGGAGACAGCCCTGATGTGCAGCGTTTGCCAGTTTCCATGGTGCAAACACTTCCATCCCAGCAAGGTTAAATGACCAACCTAAGGCCACAGAAAAAGCAGCAGAGCTCTGGGAGTGGGTGATGGACAGGGAGGCCTGGCGTGCTGCGGTTCGTGGGGCCGCAAAGAGTCGGACACGACCGAGCGACTGAACTGAACTGAAAGCCCACAGGCGGCAGAGCTGGAAGGAGGCTTATGCACCCGGCTCTCCCAAGTCCGCACCGCCCAAGGTGCTCCGGCACACCCCTGCCTCTCGGGCTTGCTGACTTTCTTTGGCCGAGGCACGTAGGCTCTTAGTTCCCCCACCAGGGACTGAACCCAGGGTCCCGACAGTGACAGCATTGAGTCCTAACCACTGGACCACCAGGGGAATCCCCTTATCGACATTCTAATAGAGCATTCTAGAAGCCGGAAGGTCCTTAAGAACCAAAGAGATAAGTTTCCCATATGCCATGTGCATTGCTCTGGGTCAACTACTTCGAAGGGAATCTCCTATGTACTATAAACTTGTGACAGAGGTGAGAATGACTTGTATCTTGCTTTTTTACACTTTGCATTAAAACACACGCATGCGTGTGTGCTGAGTCACTTCAGTCGTGTCCAACTCTGAGACCCAGTGGACTGTAGCCCGCCAGGCTCCTCTGTCCATGGGATTTCCCAGGCAAGAATACTGGAGGAGGTCACCATGCCCTTCTCCACGGGATCATCCTGACATAGGGACTGAACCCACCTCTCTTATGTGTCTTGCATTGGCAGGAGGGTTCTTTACCACTAACATCACCTGGGAAGCCCCAAAACATATGCACGTCCCCCATCATGATAATCATAACCAGCATTTTCAGGCTCTACATAATGTTCCATTCAATAGACATTCCACAGCTGATTAATCAATCCCCTATCACTGACCACGTAGGCTGTTTCCAAATGTTTAGAGTTACAAATAACGTGGAAATGAAATCCTTCTGCCTAAAAGTATGATCGCGCTTAGAATCAAAGTCCTACAATTCCAGGGGTGGGATTGAAGCTCCTGAGGCCAATAACAGTTGACGAGGTTGTGGGGTGGGCGCTGGGGGTGCCAAGGGGCAACTAGAGGGTGTGTGATCGCAGCCCTGCCAGTTCTCAGGGTCTGACCCTTCTGTATTCCTCACCACAGAGCCCCCAACATCCTCAGACAAGACTTCCCCTACGTTGGACGGATGCATAACAGGCCATGAAACACCCAGCTTGCGTGTCTCTTCCGAGAAAGCTGCAATGCACGGTACGGCTCCCAGGGACCATCTCAGGGACAAGTGCCAGAAGGGCCTGCTGTCCGAGTTGGCAGTCACTGGCTCAACCACAGGGAATCGACCCAGTCCCGCCCCTGCCTCAGCAAGCAGGCATCCCAGGATGGCTACCCCATCTTTTCCAGAAAGCAACTCAGGGACAGACCCCTCGACAGGCAGCTCTCAGGTCTCCCCCACGCCCCGCCCCAGCCCAGCACACACCGGACAGCAGCGCCCCTCTCCCAGGCCTTCTGCAGACCCTCTGCCCTGCCCACCTATGTTCACACCAGCCCCAAAGCCATGAACCGAGCCCCCCTCTCCTGGGCCCGCTCCTCACCACTGCCACCTTCCCTGACACCACCCAGGGCCCCAAGACACCCTCAGGCGCTGAGGTCCAGAGCAGAACACGAACATTCCCATCCTGAGAGGGCCTCGGTGTAGGAGACCCACACAAACCGCTTGTGCAGCCTGGCACCCCTTTTTGCACACCCGTCTCACCTGTCCACAGGCCTAAGCCCCTGTGGGCCCATAGCAGAGGTTCTTTGGAACCTTCTAGGACTTCGGTTTCCTGAGTAAAAGAGGATTCTTGCTCACGGCATCTCTGTCACCGTGGGTAAGATTTAAGGAAGGTCTGATGTCACGAGATTATGCAGACTTGGAATAACATTTGCCAAATATTCTCACAACACAGTTTAGGAAAATGAGGCCCAGAGAAGCGAATGGCCTGTCACACCGGGACCCAGGACATGGCTGGAATGGGGACCCAGGCCAGTGTCCCAGCTGCTCCACCGGCCTCCCTTGCCCCACCGGCAGGATGCAGACATCACGGTCCCCCAGCCCTCAGGGAACCGCTCCAAGATGCCAGAGCTCTGCCCTGGCTCCAGGAGGACTCTTCCCAAATGAGGTGTCCAGAGAGTGGCTCGGGGAGCAGGAGACACACCTGACCTGCTCCAGTGACAAGGAGCTGCCTGCCCTGGGCGACTGGGTGGAGAGGCACATCCACCCACTGCAGGAACCTCATCGGCCAAGCACTCCCCCGGGGTCCAGCAATGAGGGGATGGACGGGGGCCTGCGGAGGTGGGCAGGACCACATTCTGGGTGAGGGCATGGGGCAGAGTGAGGTCAGGCGCCTCTGGGGAGCCACTACACCCCAAGCTCTAGGCCCACTGCCTGCCCCCGCCCCCAAGAGACCAAGACCCCCTCAAGCATCTGTGGTTATTGCCCCGTCGGTGACAACCAGGTCTGATGTTCAAGGGCTTTCTCGCCAGTTATTCCGTAATTACTCCCTAATTACCACCTCAGTCTGTTCTCAGCTACTGGGGCACGACAGTGAAGCGTGCCGCACGGCAGTTCACAATCCACTCATGGATTCAGAGAGGCAGACACAGACCAAGGCAGGGAGAGCTGAGGGCCTGGAGGGTGGGCCAGAGATGCGCCAAGGTGATTCAGGCCTGAGGGGCCCACGCATCTCTGCATCAGGCAGAGGGACAGCCTGAGACGTCACCACAGGCCAGGGGAAGGAACAGACCAAATGCAGACCCAGCCAGGCCCAGGACAAGCCAGCACTGGGGCCACCACCCTCGGTCATCCATCCTCGGGGTCCACCCTGGCCTTGGGCTCCTTCCTCCACGCCACTGGCCCCTCCTCACAAAGGAAGGGCCTGGAGAGCCCGGCTCCTAGAGGGGACTGGAGTCAAGGAACATCACACAGGGCAGGGGCCAGGTACCCAGCTCCTGGAGCAGGAAGGTTGGCCTGGGACCTCCTTCCACTGACCGGGGCCGCACATCCTGACAGCTGACCTCCAACTCAGGATCATGGGGAAAAATAAAAACAATGTGGTAACAACGACCAGTTCACTCTTGGAAACGGTGAATCCTACCCACTATCTCTTTCCAAATCCCGGGGCTCCAGCTCTAAGCTGCACCCAGCACGGCCCAGCAGCCCCCGCATCATCTGAGCACGGGTTAGAATTACAGAAACTCAGCCTCACTCTGACTCATCGACTGGGGGTCTACACTGGAACAAAGCCCCCTGGGATCTGTGCACATCAACGTGTGAGAGGTGCAGCCAGCACTCACACCCCACCCCGGAGAGGGCACAATCCTACCCCTCCCCCACTGCTGCCTCGGGGCTGTGCTTCTGAGCTGCGCTTGAGTGGCAAAAGCAACAGGGCATGACTAAATGCGCTTGAATAAAAAGAGGAAGAAAGGAAATCTAAGTCTCTCCATTCCCCGGAGACAGAAATAGTGCTGTGGCCTCCAGATGGACCGCGCAGACACAAGGGGAGGTCTCGCCTTCCCGCCAAACTTTCCCAACGGGATGCTGGCACGGACCAGTGGAAAGCAGAGCGTATTTCTCTTTGGGGCAGTAAAATGAGAGGCTGTGGCTCGGGGAGTCCTTCTGTTATAATTAAGTTGGCCAGAAATTCACCTAAGGATGCTAAATTCCGTACCTGACCCTCTAATTACAGCCAGAAGGGATCAGGAGACAATTACTTTCCAAAATAGTCCTTGGCAGGCCGGAGGCAAGAAGCCGCCTCTCTGGCACATGTGTGCCAAGGGAACAAACACCCGGGCCGCCCCTCAGCCCCACACCTCCCATCCCTTCCCTCTCCCATTTTCCTGATGGAGCTCGAGATGTCCAAACCCCACTTCCCGACTGGGGGGCACTGGACCTCCAGGATCCACCTGCAGGCTTCCATCTCAGTGCCTGGGGTCCCCAGAACCTGGAGCACCCTCGAGCTGCCCCCATGAACCCAGGATGCCTGCCCAGTGACCTCGACCACCCACCTCACTGAATCTCAAACAGGCTCATGAAAAACACACCCCCCCCCCACCGCCAAGCGCGTTGATCAGCAAGTACCTCCTTGGGCAGCTACTGCAGCCGCCGCTGCCGCCGTGGCCACCGCGAGGGCCGAGGCTTTCCTGCCAGGGTCAGGAAAAGCGAGGCCCTCCAGGATCCCACTTTTGACTTCTTTCTTGTCCGTGGCTGTGGCTGAGGCAGACGTCTCCATCCTAGCCGCACATAGTCCTGGGTGGCAGCCCTGGAGGGGGAGACAAAGGCAATCACCGACGTGTCCCCCAGACCCAGCCGGGAAGCACCAACCCAGGCTCCCAGCCGCCGCCCCGTGCTCCGAAAGCAAACAGCTTCCTCCTCTGATCATTGCCAAGGAGGGTTTAATTAATTTTGAGCCTTCTTCATTCTGAGATTCATCTGGTCTTCCAAACGACCTCACAGACAGCAGCCAAGCATTTTCACTGTTACCCAAGATTTTTCAAATCTAAGCAACAAGTTCCTAGTCCCGCAGATGGCAAGTAGCAAGAACTACCTTGAGAAAGGAAGTCAGAAGGCAATGCTCCTCATCTCAGACTCATGGGACAAGAAAAATCAATGCGAGGACCACGGCAGGGAGGTCCTCAAAGAAAAGCCCTCGTTCTCCGATTCCCTGGCTCCTCACCAGATCCACCTTTCACTTACTCACATGTATGTTCATTCACTCTTTCATCCATTTGCTCATTCATTCATTCAACAGTTTTCATCATTTATTCACTCTCATGCATTTAGTCAGTATCTTATCAAGGCCCTACTATGTATCAAGTGTTGGGCCTGGTGTTGAGAACACAACCCACAGAGTTGACATCCTACTTGGGAGACGTGATAACTAAGGCGGGGGAGAGGTAAATGCATGCTTCATTCCCCTTGGTGAGAAGTGGCGTGGGAAGGAAAGCAGAGGGCTAGAGCAGCAAGGGAGGGCAGGAAGGCCGCCATCCTGCCTCAGTGAGGAAGGGACGGGATGCCACATGAGGGTCTGAGGGGGGCCGTGGCAGGAGCTGCCGGCCTGGGTGGGAGGAGGCTGGTTTGCTCAAGGAGCAGAGAGAAGCTGAGTGCAGGCCCTCGGAGTATTTCGAGCAGAAGGGGGAGGTGACAGGACTCATGGTATGAACGGGTCACTCTACAGGTGTATAGAGAGCAGATCTGGGAGGAAGGGGTCTGACTGCAATGACCCAGGGAGATACATGGTGGTCTGGATTAGAGGGACAGCAGCTCTGAAGACAGAGCCCACAGTCCTCGCTTGGGTGTGAGAGAAAGAGGCGCTGTCACGGGTTAAGAGAGGAAGGCAGGGAACTCAGGGCGCGGGGAACGCGCCATCTCCATCAGGCTAGTGGGCCACAAGCAGGCATTTTACTGAGTGGTGCTTCCCCACACACAGCTACTGCTAATTCAGTGTGTGCCTCAATTATTACAGAACAGACATCTGAAAGCCAGTTTTCTTAAAAGAACAGGGGTAGGTCAAAGACGCCTCCTATATTTGCCTGAGCACTGGGGTGACTGCACGATGGGGCCACTTGCTTGGATGTAGCACGGGGTGAGAATTCGGTTCAGGGCAGGTGCTCGGTTTGGGCCATGTGAAGTCTGAGACCCTATTAAGACATGCAAAGACTGAAAGAAGGTCCTGCTATATACAGCACAAGGAAGTATACTCAATATCCTGTGATAAACCATAACAGAAAAGAATATGAAAAGAATGTATGTGTAAGTAAAACTGAACCACTTCACTGTACGCCGGAAACTAACACAATACTGTAAATCTACTGTACTTCAGTTAAAAAAAAAAAAAGAGCAGAGACTGTTAGAAAGAAGGCAGAACTCAGGGAGAGAGGCAGTTTACAGACGGGAATACGGCAGGCCCGGGGCAAGATCTCCAAGAGAGAGGGCAGAGAAAGTTCCAGAATAAGACAGTGCAGGGCGTTCCAACATTACCAGAAGGGAAAAGACAAACCAGCCAAGGAGAGTGAGCAGGAATGGACGAGGGCAAAGGATGAGAAAGCAAAACCTCTAGGGGAGTGTTGGGGCCTGGAATCCAACCCAGAAAGAAACAGCCGGCAGCAGTCAGCACCATCAGAGACTCCATGAGGCCCCGGAGCCGCGAGGTAGCGACCAGGGCCCAGGTACGCTCCGGGAGAGACGGCAGCACAGGCATTGAGTCGGGAAGTTTTGCCATAAAAGATGCAAAAAACGGGGCGAGAGAGACAAGGAGGCCCATGGCCACTGTTTCAGAAAGAAGGCGGTAGGTCTCCACACCGGCGGGAAGAGAAGGTTCTGGGCAGGGCTTGTAGGTCATGGGCGGCAGAAACCAAAAGGCAGTGGTCAGCTCCCTCCCTGGGAGCCTCAAATCTTACATCCACAGGCCCTAGAATGTCACTCTTTTAAAGTCTGCACGATATTCTCATGTTTTTCTAAGTAGAAAGTGGGAGTGCAAAAGAATGCTGGACGTGAGGCAAGGAGGCGGTCACAGCTCGGCTGACCTGCTAGGCAGACAGCCCCAGCTCTGAACTGCCGGAATTTATCTCACGGGCCAGCCTGTCTGGTTTCAGTCTTGAAGACACCCATCCAGAAAACCCTGGATAGATGAGAGACAGAGAGATCTCCCTGAGGGCTCTGGTGAGTTACAGGGTTTCCTCTGGCCTTGAGATTTCGGGATCACTGGCTGATCCTTTAAGCCTATTTGTATAATCTGTGCGGTAAGATGCTGGCTGTCTGAGCGGCACCAACAATGCCCCCTGGGCCGTGCTTGCTTCACCTTCTCTACCCCCTTAGCCTGGTCCCAGGAACCACCCCTCCCAGCCTTCTGGCCGGCACTTCGGGCCACCATCCTCCCACATCTGATCAGCTCCAACAGACATCACTTCACCCCCAAAGCACCTCGCCAGTGGGGCCTCTCTGCCCCGCGTTCTTCCCTTCTGGGTCACAAGCAGCTCCGTCCCATCTCCGTGCCCCTTCAGGGCACCTTCTATCTTAAAAACAGGCACCTTCTCCAGACCAAATCTGATCACAATCCTCCCCTGGCCAAGGCCTTGCTGAGCCCCTGGCATTCAGGTAAAATCTCCCTGGGTCTACCTGCAGTATCCTCATCCCACCCTGCTCTTTACCTTAACCCTGGCACACCCACCAGAAACCCATCACCCTTTCTGTATGACAGACTCCTATTCTTCCTTCAAGATGCCACTCACACGTCACCTACTCTGGGAAGCCCCCCAGCTCCTTCCCACTGACGGTCACCTCTGTTTCCACACCCCTGCAGCACCCCCATAACCCCGATACTGTATTCATCATCACCACCAGGTCCAGAGCTGCTCCCCACTCAGGCTGGCACAGAGCAACCACTCAGAAGTGAGAGTTGGTCGCTCAGTCGTGTCCGACTCTGTGACCCCACGGACTGTAGCCGGCCAGGCTCCTCTGTCCACGGGATTCTCCAGGCAAGAATACAGGAATGGGTTGCCATGCCCTTCTCCAGGGGATCTTTCCGACCTAGGAATCGAATCGAGATCTCCTGCACTGCAGGCAGATTCTTTACCAACTGAGCCACCAAGAACTCCCTCTCAAGAACGCCTGGCAAAGAAGTGCATCTCAGATGCAGGAAATCACAGCTCTTGGAAATACAAGTGATTTTGTGAACAATCTGGTTTTTCATCCCAAGAAGCTCAGGTGAGCTTAAGCACATCTTGAATTTAGAAGTAAAGACAAAATAATAGCTGGAACAACACACCTTGAACAAGCATTTACCAGGTGCCAAGCTCTTTGCAAAAGTGAGTTCACTTAATCCTTGCAACAATTTATGTAGGAAGAAACCAATGTTCAAGAGAGGCTGAGTAACTAGCCCAAAGACACACAGCTTAAAGTGGCTGCACCAGGCCTTGAATCCAGGCTGCCTGGCACAAAGCTGTATTCTGGAGCATCATGGTAAACTGTTCCTCAAGTGAGGACCCTGCGGTACAAAGAGATCTGCCCCAGAATTCCCTGGAAGCATTAAGGGACCTGTTGAGTGTGAGGGGCCCTATGCCAGAAGCCCATGAGGATTCAACATGGCCCCTTTCCTAGGGCTGTATCTCAGGCAGCAAGACTGGTGAAGGGGGTCGACAGGCCAAGAGACAGGCCAAGGCTGAGGCTCTGTCCAGGGCTGCCGGCCAACGTCACAGCCCTGCAGGGCGTACGTCCACTGAGGCTGATGGCGGGAAGGAGGAGCACGTCATGGCCCTGCAGGGCGTACGTCCACTGAGGCTGAGGCTCTGTCCAGGGCTGCCGGCCAACGTCATGGCCCTGTAGGGCATATGTCCACTGAAGCTGATGGCGGGAAGGAGGAGCACGTCATGGCCCTGCAGGGCGTCTGTCCACTGAGGCTGAGGCTCTGTCCAGGGCTGCCGGCCAACGTCATGACCCTACAGGGCATATGTCCACTGAGGCTGACGGTGGGAAGGAGGAGACGTTCACCCCTAAGTCTTTATTCCATAACTCTTTGTGGACAGCTTCGTGCCTCACATTGCCGTAGGCTGGGAGCTGGCTAGGCTCCTTCCCCTGGTTCTGACCCCTCTCACACAGCCTGGCCACAACCTGCTATGTACGCACCCACCCTACTGAACCCTGACCTCCCCCAAGCCAGAGCAGGGCCCCGCACCCCTGGGTCTCCAGGTCCAGCTGAGCACATGCTCCGACTCCTTGCAGATGGGACAAAGTGGACCCAGGGAACCAGGCCGGCATCTGGAGGGAAGCGGGCCTGAGGGACCCGAAACCAGGACAGGACTCAAGGCAGCCAGAGGGTCAGGCCACGGGACCACACCCAAGCTTCTGGGGGGCAGCCCCAAAGGCAGGAGAGGAAAGCGAGGCCGGCCACTCAGAATCCTTGGACCGTAGAGTCAGGGCTGCCACAGCAAATGCAGGGGCTCAGTCAGGAAGGTGCCGTGGCCACTTCTGTCGAGGGACCTGAGGAGACTGGAAAGAAGAGGGAAAGCCCGGGGGTCTTCTTGGGGTACAGCAGCTGCCTCACACCAATATCCCAGCATCCAGATCATCGCGGGGGAGAGGGTCCAGGTCCACGGCCAGCTCCTCTGGCTGGAATGCTGCCCGAAGCCTCAGGGCGAGGCCGCCCCAGGACCAGGTGGACACAGTGGGTGGGAGTGGACTGATGCAGACTTCCATGCCCCAGAGGGCAGTGGGCTGGGAATGCCTAGGGTTCCA